GGAAATATCAAAGAACTAGAGGAAAGCTGTATGTTTCATTGGTGCTACACTGCACCCTGAGTGGCCCATCTTCTTGCCACGATCCTTCTGTAAGGGGATGTCCAGTTGCCTACAGATGGGCATGGGCTTTGGGTCTCAACTCTGCACTCCCCCTCCTTCACAGTGATACGATTTTTTGTTATTTGATCCCATCAACACCTCATGATCACACAGGCTGGTGTCTTTTTCCTGTGGCTTTGTTGCTTCTGAGCTAGATGGCTGCTTATTTATCTTCAAGCCTTTAAGACCCCAGGTGCTATATCTTTTGATAACCAGGCACCATCAGCTTTCTTCATCACATTTGCTTATGCACCTGCTTTGTCTTCAGCGATCATGTCGGGAGGGTGAGCATCATGAAATGCCAGGTTAATAGAACAAGGTGTACTTGTGTTGAGGGAGTACTTGAGTGGAGTCCCAATGTCCATTTGCTACCTTAATAATAAACCTATAAATATATGCACAAGATCTATTTCCCCATCATCATATATAAATATATTTACATATGCACATGCCTGTATGTAGACCTCTATAAATGCCCTTTGTGTCCTAGTTCTTTCCTCCATTTCCTTTTATTTTCCTCTTGTCCCACTATCATGCTCAGCCTTCATTTAGGTTTCAGTAATTCCTCTGTAATCTTGCCCTTGATCAAGCCCTACCAGGCCTCTTACACCCTCCTCACCATCAATTTTGGATCACTTGTTACTCCCTTGTCCATGGGTTCGTTAACACCCACTTCCTTTCCCTTGCCTTCCCCTCTCCCATATCCCCCCCACCCCAACGTCAGGTCCCGTTGTTTTCTCCTCCAGCTTGTTTATCCTGTCTATCTTATCTAGATAGACCTGCAAAGATAAAAACATGCACAAAAAACAAGACAGCAAGACAGAGCAACAAAAGAAAATAAAACAACAGCAACAACAACAAAAAGAAAACCAACGACAAAAAAAGAAAAGCCTATAAATACTTCAAGGTCTTTAGAAGTGTTTTCCAGTCAAGTCTGAATGGGTACAATGCCCTGTCCCCAAAGTCTATTTTTAGTATTCTCCGGGGACTTCGTTGCTCTGTTCCCCTTGCTGTTCTGTTGCACACCCTTAGTGTTTCACCTCAGTGTGGTTGGGTCAGATCAGGGACAATTCCCACACTGTATCTCCGGTGTTGTCCCCCATAGCGCTATGGGTCATTGAGGGACATCATGTCTCATAGTGGGTCCAGCCCTATGTGCTTTGGCTGCTCTTAGCAGGAATATCGTCCTCAGGACTTCGTGGGCCAAGATGTGTTCCACTCTCTCTTCCTCTCCTTTCATTTGCTCCCATGTGCTCTGATCAGACATGTCCCTTTCCCTCAGCTATAGCTTCAGTGCTGTCCTCTGAAGTGACTTCTTCTGCCGGGCCAGCCGGGAGGGGGTGTTGTACATGTAGTTGGGATTGGTGCCGACCCAGATGAAAATATCTTAAGAAAGAATACGCTCCCCCCAAAACATATTTATTCTTTAATTTAAGACAAAGCTTAAGTAAATTATACATCTAGCCTACTTGGAAGGAATTCAAGCTGCACTGAAAACATAAAAGAAAAACAAGGTTCCAGGAATTGACAGTACCAACTGCAATGTTTCTACCAGCTAATAAAGCCTTGGAAGCACTAATTTGTCTATGCCAAGAAATTTGAAAGACAGCTATCTTGACAACCAACTGGAAGAGATCCATAGTTATTCCCATTCCAAAGGAAGATGGCCCAACAAAATGCAGAGAATTTCAAACTATTATTAATATTACTTGTAAGTGAAACTGCAGAAAGTCATTCAAAAACTGCTGCAACAGTACATCAACAGCAAACATTTAGAGATTCAATCTGTATTTCGTTGAGGATGTGAATGAAGGGATATTACTGTTGCTGTCAGATGGATCCTGGCTAAAAGCTGAGAATACTGCAAAGATGTGTGTACTTGTGTTTTATTGGTTGTACAAAGCCATTTGACTGCATGGATCATAATAAACTGTGGATAGCATCACAAAGAAGGGTAATTCCAGAACACTTCATTGTGCTTATGCAGAACCCAATAGGAAGTATATGAACAGATGAAGGGAATATTGCATATTTTAAGAACAAGAAAAGTGTCTGTCAAGGCTGTATCCTTCACCATGCTTATTCAATCTATATGCTGAGAAAATAGTCCAAAAATCATACAGTATGATGAAAAAGAATGCATCATTAGGATTGGAGAAAGCTCATTAGAAACCTACAATATGCAAATGAGAGCCTGCTTGGTGAAAGTGAGGAGGACTTTGAAATACTTGATAAAGATCAAAGACTAATGTCTGTAGTATGGATTACAACTCAATATACAGAAAACAAAATCCTCAAAACTGGACCAATGGAGAACATGATAAATGGAGAAAAGATTGAAATTGTCAAGGGTTTCATTTTACTTGGATTCACAATCAATGTTATTGTGAGCAGCAGGCAAGATGGTTTGCATTGGACACATTGGGTGTCCGAAAGCTTTGAAAGTATTAAAGAGCAAAGATGTTTCTTTGAACACAAGGGTATGCCTGACCTAAGCCATGGTATTTTGTCACCTCATACTCATGTGAGAGCTGGGCCATGAATAAAGGGAACCAAAGAAGAATTGATGTGTTCATACTAGGGTAGTAGTGAAGAATATTGATTAAAATACTATGAACTGAAAAGGGGAACTTATCCAGTGATCAACATACAATTCTCCCCACCCCCCATGCCCCGCTTGTGGGGGAGAAACAACAAATTTGGGTGAAGGGAAATAGCAGGTACTGTAAACTATGAAAATAGGAATAATTTTTAAATTATCCAGGTGAGAGGGTGGGGGCGAGGAAGTGGGGAAAAGCTGATACCAGGGGCTCAAGTAGAAAGAAAGTGTTTTGGAAATGAAGATGACAACATGTACAAATGTGCTTGATACAATTGATGTATGGATTTTTAGCTGTAAGAGTCCCCAATAAAAAAAAGATTTATTAAAATAAAATAATACTATGAACTGTCAGAAGGATAAACAACTGTCTTTGAGGGAGTACAGCCAGATGCTTCTTTTTTGTTTTTTTTGGTTTGTTTTTTCCCAGAATGCTTCTTAAAAGCAAGGATGGTAAGATTTTGTCTCATGGTATTATCAGGAGAAACCAGTCCCTGAAATCATGCTTGGTAAAGTAGAGGTACAGCAAAAAGAGAGATGCCCTCCGTGAGATGAATTGATGCACTGGCTACAAAAAGGGACTCAATCATAATACTTGTGAGCACGGTACATGGTTGGGCAGTGTCTTGTTCTCTGTGCATAGGGATCACAATGGCAACTAACAACAACCTGCAGAAACGTGAGAGACTAAACAACCTGACCTGAGTTGTATGGATGTTGAATTGTTGTCATCAACGTTGCACCATTGAAAGTGAAAAGAACGGGAATGAACTCTTGTTACTCTTCCACTTTTGGAGAGTGGGCACTGAGGGAGAAAATATTCTTCATTCTAGTCAGAGATTTTTATACCCTGATTTTATCTTGTAATCATCAAGAGAAACTTAAAAATACACACAGAAACATGCAGATACCCACCATTGCCATTTGGCCAGTTCCATTTCATGGTGACATTATAGGACAAAGCAGAACTACCAAGGATTTCCAAGGCTGGAATCACTACAGAAGCAGACTGCCACATCTTTTTCCTGGGGAGCAACTGATGGGTGGTAACAACTGAGCATTTTAACCACTGTGCCACCAGGTCTCACTAGACACGGACGCATAGTACACATTCTCTGTCCCAAACTCAGAGACTTAATAAATCAGAATATCCAGAAATCGAATATAGGACTAAAATATGTTTTTAAGTTCCCCCTTATGATTGTGACCAAGCTTAAAAAGTATTATTGGTGGGAGGGTGGGGGAGGCAGAAAATATTTTTAAGATGCTTAAAGTGGGGCAAGTGCATTACATGGCACATTGTAGGTGCTTGTAAATATTTAACAGATTGTTGAATCTGCTTCTACTTATTGCTTTTTCCCATTAAACTATTACTGGATTCCAGAATTCAACAGTAATTGCCCTAAACTTAAACAGAGTAAGCTGTTTTTCTGTAGCCAGGTACTATTTTTCTATTACTGTATATACTCGAGTATAAGCCGATCTGAATATCAGCCGAGGCATCTAATTTTACCACAAAAACTGCATTAGAACAAAAAATCTTACCATAGCGAATGATGGGGGGAGTGCGGAGTGGAGACCCAAAGCCCATTAGTAGGCCACTGGAGATCCCCTTGCAGAGGGGTCTCTGGGAGGAGATGAGCCAGTCAGGGTGCGATGTAACAACGATGACAAATACAACTTTCCTCTGGTTCCTAAATGTTTCCTCTCCACTCCCACTACCATGACTCGAATTCTACCTTGCAAGTCTGGCTAGACCAGAGGATGTACACTGGTACATATAGGAACTGGGAATCCAGGGAGGATGAGCCCTACAGGACCAGTGGTGTGAGTGGCGAAACAGGGAGGGTAGAGGGAGAGTGGGTAGGAAAGAGGGAACCGATTACAAGGAACTATATGTGACCTCCTCCCTGGGGGACGGACAACAGAAAAGTGGGTGAAGGGAGACGTTGGACAGGGCAAGATATGATAAAGTAATAATTTATAAATTATTAAGGGCTCATGAGGGAAGGAAGCAGTGGGGAGGGAGGGGAAAAATGAGGACCTAATGCCAGGGGCTTATGTGGAGAGCAAATGTTTTGAGATTGATGAGGGAAATGAATGTACAAGTGTGCTTTACACAATTGATGTATGTATGGATTGTGATAAGAGTTGGATGAGCCCCTAATAAAGCGATTTAAAAAAAATGCTGAAAACCTCGATATATATGGTATATATATACATGTACATAAGTTTGTGGTGTTTGTTTTAAGACTAATTTGTTATTCTTACTGAATAATGAATATATCCCTTTTGTTTTTAGGCTGTGGAAAATCTCTGTTCTCACAAAGTTTCCCCAACACTCTACAAACAGCTACGTCAGGTTTGTGAAGATCATGTTCAAGCACAAATCCTTCAATTTAGAGAATATCCTTTTTTGACTTTGACGTTTTTTGTGCATTACTTAAAATCTTTGAAATTGAATTAGTAGGTAAAGAATTAATAAGTATCTTTAATATTAAAATAATAGCTTTGAAATTTTCCTTTTGTTTCATGTGACTTAATATGATAGATTTTTAGATTAAATTTTTGCTATTTGAGTTAACTTTCCTGACCTGTATTAAATTAAAGAAACAATGGTCATTAATTAAATCAGGTTAAAATATTTAGGAAAAGTCTGAAATATGTCCTAAAATGTAAGTTCTACTGTCCTTTATTCTGTTAAAAATTTTTCTATAATGTGAAACAAATTACCATAAATGTAAAAGCTTAAAGTGACATTTTTATTATCTCCCTTTTAGGTTTCTTGCTTTGTGTATCACAAGCTGAAATCAAAGTGTTAGCAGAGCTGTGCTCTTGTCTGAGGCCCCTTATAAGCCTGTTGATTTGTTGCAGAATTCAGCTCCTTGTACTACAGGGCTCCCTACTTCCTTTCTGACTGTTGACAGGGTAGCTCTCAGTCCCCCTCAGGTACTTGCCACAAGTAAGCTGATTTGCTTCCTTCTGGACCAGCAAGAGAATCCTCTTCTCAGGTTTGCTAAGATGGTCTTATCTAATGCACATTAGATCACTTCTAATTCATAGCAACCCTGTAGGGCAGAGTAGAACTAACTGCTCCATAAAGTTTCAAGTGCTGAACTCTTAATGAAAGCAGAATGCCACAACTTTCTACCATGGAGCGACTGGTACCACAGACCTTTTGGTTAGCCAGGTGCTTTAACCAGTGTGACACCAGAGCTCTGTGACCTAATGAAAATTGAATACACTGCCATTGAGTCCATTGCGATGCATAGCAACCCTTTTGGACAGGATGGAACTGCCTCTCTGGTTTCTAAGATTGTAGTTTTTGAAAGAGTAGAAAACCTTAACTTTTTCCTGCAGAGTGGTTTGTAGTTTCAAACTTGTGACCTTGTGGTTAGCAGCCCCATGAATAGCCACTATACCACCAGGCTCCTAACCTAGTGGTGTCAGCTCACTCTCAAGTCACTACGGACTCAGTGACCTTATATGACAGGGTAGAACTGCCCATGTGCATTTCAGAGACTAACCTTATGGGAATAGAAAGCCCATCTTTCTTCAGAGTCTGATGGCTTCAAAAGCTGACCTTATGAATTGCAAACACTTAATAACTGTCACCTGGGCTCCAATAACCTAAGGAAAGAGTAATGAATCCATCTTATGTAGTCCTGCCACACATGGAGAATGAATTCTATAAGGCATTTGAGCAGGTGGGGATCTTACAGGCCATCGTAGAATTTCTGTGCCCCAGATGTCTACAAGGGAAACCTTAAATTCTTTAGCATTCAGTTAAAAAAAAAAAACCATTATGCACTGGGTTCAGGCTAACCACCCACCATCCTCCTATTACATTGGCATACACATCTCATCCTGTGAAATCGCAGAAAATCAACTTGAGGCTGGCTGGACTTCCATTTCTTAATATATAATATTAAGTGGTTGAACCCTAAGTTCTCATCTAGCTCAAGGAATCATCCCCCCCTTCCAACCCCCAAGCCCCCAATCCCTCTCATTTGGAGAGGCTGTAGCATTCTAAATTCATTGAAAGGAAACCGCAAAGCTGTCACAGCAGTTCTATTGGCTGTCTTGATTATTTGCATGTGTGTCAGTCCGAGTTGACTAGAGAAACAAATTTATAGACACTCGTGTATGAGAAATAACTTTATATGTAAGAGCGTTGAATATTGAGGCACCAGCCCAGTTCGGTTCAAGTCCATAAATCTGATATTAGCCCATGTGTTCGATACTGATCTGTAAAGTCCTCTTCAGACTCACGGAAACACATGCAGTGACGCCTAATGCAGGAAGATCACAGGCCAGTGGTTAGAAGGTCTTGTGGGTCTAGTGGCGGTAAAGGCATCTCAGTGTTGGCAGGGTCTCCACGTGGCTCCTTAAGCTCCAGAACTCGAGCGTAGCTCCATGTATCTTCTCCACAGCATTGTCACACGGAGAGTGAGCATATGTCCTGCCTCCTGCAAGCTATTTATCTCCTTAGTACCTCCGAATGAAGTTATCAAGCTGCGACCTGATTGACAAGCTAAACTCCACCCCTTCACTTGTAAGTCTCAAATTGACAACAGATTATGTAACTACCACAGACATCCCCTTGTCAATTTGACACTTTCACACAACTCTTTAGCCATATATAATTTTCAAACAATACTACTTATCTGTACTTAACAGGATAAAACTAAAATGTATACAACTCAATATGTGCCACCCTCATTTAAACATAACATTCTATATGTGAACAAAACAAAAATATCCTATGCTTAAAAATTACAGTTAAGTAACACCTACACCTCAGTCCTGTGGATATGTTCTAGCACGTATGAAAGTTCGTAAGCCAACCACTTCATGCCTTTATTCCCTCCAGATTTTGAGTATGCAATTTCTATGCTGCCGACTTCCATCAACCCATGCTCTGAGGAGACAATCATATTCATTGATGTGAAGAATGTTTATTCCAGTTGGAACTTTGTGAAGTCCGCATCCATTAGCAAAGTCAAATTAGAACAGGTCATCCATGAAGCCAGCAACAATATGCACCAGTTAACAGGCTCACAAATTTTTTCTTCATCTAGTCTGGTTCTGGTCAACTCAATATGGGTATCCTCATCAGGGTGCCCATTGGCTGCCTTGCCTTTAGACCATGGACCCCAACACAAATTCTCAACAACCCTAAAGAAACCTTTTCTGTCTATTGTACTAGCACTCAAAAATAGAAAAAAATTACTAAAACGTGACTGGTGATAATTACTACTCTCCAAGTGGTCATAGTTCTGTAAAGGACAATATCTTGATGCTGTACAGCAACCATAATTATAAAACTTATCATTTGTTTTTAAAAAGGAGAAAGAAGAAACACTTCTAAGTGGGACATACAGTTAAGCACTTGACTACTGGCTTAAAGGTCTGCAGTTCAAGCCCACCCTGGGGCATTTTGGAAGATGAGCCTGGTGAGCTGCTTTCAAGCAGTCACAACCTTGAAAGCCTCCTGGAACAGTTCTGCTTTGTACAGGTGGGGTTGCCATGGAATCGCCGCCAAGGCAACTAACAATAACCATGGTAAACGTTTCTTTTTGAGTTGAAAGGCATCTTGAGTTTTAAAATATTAGGATATTAGAGTTAAGACATGGGAACTATATATAGTATATAATGCATTTGGAGCAAAATTTTATGGAAAAGAGGCATGAATTGCATCTTCAAGGATGAATGAGGATATTTAGGGCATCAAAAACGGAAATCTGAAAGAACTTTTTGTGAAAGCAATCGAGTAGTTTTTAGCAACACTGAAACTTGTAAGGATTACTGGAATAGAAGGCTGTCGTGCTAAATTATGGCTTAAGTTATAATTTAGTATACACTATTTATTACAGGATTATAGCCTGAAAGACTATGCTAGTGGTGCAGTGGTTAAGTTCTTTTGGCTGCTCACCAAAAATGTGGGTGGTTCAAACTAACCAGCTCCTTGGCAGAAGGAAAAAAATGGCAGTCTGCTTCCATAAAGATTACAACCTTGGAAACCATATGGAACAGTTCTACTTCTGTTAAAATTAACTCAACAGTGATGGGTTGTTATACCGTTAAGGAATTGGACTTAAACCATATGACCATCAGAGTTCTTAACAGATTTCTAGAGGAAGAATTTGCTGTAATAAGATTTTTGTTTTAGGGAGGTAAATTTGACAGAATTAGTAGACAGACCATAGACAACATTATTTTAAGCCTCCAGATTTTTATACACATCTACAATGTGCCAAGTATAATGCTAATCCATGGGGGAAATAAATATGAATAAAATGGGATTCTGGCTTTTTCTCGCATATAAAGGCAAATAGGGTTGATAGAAACAGAATACATTTATGAAATAATAACAATAAAGGTATTAAAAACTCAAAGTTACTGTGACCTAAGGAGCAGAGCCAGTTTTGCCTGAGAGCATTCCCCAAAGATGTCCAGACTGTCTTCAAGGAAGTTGGCTCAGTGCTATAGGAGACTGAAAAATCATGCTGGTGAGAAAGGGAAGTTTTTCTTGAACAGAAAAGTATGACTTATTGGGAGTGGGGATGTTTGGCACTGATAGAAACCTCTAAATATGAGAGAACTTAAAATGATTGGTGATGAATTATGAAAGAGCCTTTTTGTTACATGGTTGGGATTTCATCTGACAGAATCAGCTGGGGTACTTAGGCAGCAGAATGGCATGAATTTTGTATTAGATAACATCCCCTTTATGCATTGTGGTGTATAGACTACAATGGATAATTATAACTAGACAGTGAGACCAATTGGGAAACTACTGAATTGGTATAAGTGTCAGCACGCCATGGTAAGGGTGGAACTAAGGCAGTAGGAAGGGAAACAATAAATGGCAAGTTTAAAATCCCTCAGAGATTGGAGGGAAGGAATTTGATGGCGTATAGAGTTGTGGCAACTGGTTATAATCTAAATAAGGAGAGAATAAAATGGACTGGGTATGGAGGAAGGAAAAATTAATTTGGTTTTATCCACTTGGAAATAGTCTAAGAAAATGCTAAAGATGTCTTTTATGCAGTTGGAACTAGAAATTCAGATCAGATAGTTGTAGACATAGGTAGGATTACCCAGGAAATATGAGGAGTGCAATCTCAGAAAATGGCAGAGGATAGAATCCTGGTAACTTCACTGTGAGGGACAGGAAAAGAGGACCATGAGAATAATGTTGTAGAAATTGAGAGTTAAGAGCTAAAGAAGGAATTTTAGGTGGCAATTGGGTGCATAAGTGGTAAGAAAAGTATCATGGGATGAGAAGACTGAGGAAATGGCAGATTACTAAAATATTTAAGTTGTATAAATACCGAATAAATGTTTGTGCTAGACTAGGCTGTACACCAGAGATTCAGGATAAATAACAGTTTCTGCTGTAA